GAAATCTTAAAAAAAGAGATTCTTTTTCATGTTTAATACACCAATTAAACAATTTACCATTCTGCATTAGGATGAGATGTGGAAATCATCTGTGGAAAATCAATCATGGTAACGTGTTCCTGATCATCAATCATCAGGTTAAACTCGTTAAAATCTCCATGAATGACTCCACAGTTCCCAAGTCTGACGATTAGCTCCATACAGTCATTGTATACATGACCTGGGTCTGCCACATTCTTCACATTGCACCTGAAACAACATCACTGTTTGAATGCACTTCATTCCAATTGAATTTTCTTCTTTTTTTTTTTGAATAAACACAGAGTGATAAAACTTGCAAATACATGTACATGTACTTAAAATTTTTCATCATTAACCCCCTTAATGTGCTTTTTTGTGTCACCTGCAGAGCACAGCAACACTCAGGGATCACTTTACCTGCTGTTTGTCTGTCACACATTATGTCTCCAAAACTGTTAGAGATATGCATCTGATATTTTGCGCATCTATTGCTTGGCACTATGGCTTCTGTAAAATACCATGGTTACCGACCTCAGGAGCCTTGAAATTGACCTTTGTTCTTCTTTTCAAAATAGTTTATAGTACTAATATACAACATATTTTTGACAATCAAAGGCTATTTAACATGAGCACTGTTTGTCATAAATAAGTATGAAATATAACAGTTACCGTACATACATGACCTTGACTTTTGACCTAATTTGCAAAAAAGAAAATACTCCAGACAGTTTAATTATGTTGTTGTTGCTGTTTTTTTTTAGCTCACCTGAGCTGAAAGCTCAAGTGAGCTTTTCTGATCACCCGTTGTCCGTTGTCCGTCCGTCTGTAAACTTTTCACATTTTCAACTTCTTCTCATGAACCACTGGGCAAATTTTAACCAAACTTGGTACAAAGTATCCTTGGGTGAAGGGGAGTGTAAATTGTTAGAATAAAGGGCCGAGTCCCCTTGCAAGGGGAGATAATCGAGAAAAGACAAAAATAGGGTTGGGTCATTAAAAAATCTTCTCAAGAACCACTGGGCCAGAAAAGCTGAAACTTATATGGAAGCATCCTGGGGTAGTGTAGATTCTAAATTGTTCAAATCATGACCCCGGGGGGTAGAGCGGGGCCACAATAGGGAATCAAAGTTTTACATTGAAATATATAAGAAAAATCTTAAAAAATCTTCTTCTCAAGAATCACTGCGCCAGAAAAGCTGAAACTTATATGGAACCATCCTGGGGTAGTGTAGATTCTAAATTGTTCAAATCATGACCCCCTGGGGTAGGGCGGGGCCACAATAGGGAATCCAAGTTTTACATTGAAATATATTGGGAAAATCTTTAAAAATCTTCTTCTCAAAAACCACTGGGCCAGAAAACCTGAAACTTATATGGAAGCATCCTGGGGTAGTGTAGATTCTAAATTGTTCAAATCATGAACTCGGGGGTAGAGCGGGGCCACAATAGGGAATCCAAGTTTTACATTGAAATATATAAGAAAAATCTTAAAAAATCTTCTTCTCAAGAATCACTGCGCCAGAAAAGCTGAAACTTATATGGAACCATCCTGGGGCAGTGTAGATTCTAAATTGTTCAAATCATGACCCCCTGGGTAGGGCGAAGCCACACTAGGGAATCCAAGTTTTACATTGAAATATATAGGAAAAATCTTTAAAAATCTTCTTCTCAAGAGTCACTGGGCCAGAAAAGCTGAAACTTATATGTAAGCATCCTGGGGTAGTGTAGAATCTAAATTGTTCAAATCATGACCCCCGGGGGTAGGGCGGGGCCACAATAGGGAATCAAAGTTTTACACTGAAATATATAGGAAAAATCTTTTAAAATCTTCTTCTCAAGAACCACTGGGCCAGAAAAGCTAAAACTTAAGTGGAAGCATCCTCAAATACTGAAGATTCTAAATTGTTCAAACCATGACCCCTGGGGTTAGGGTGGGGTCACAATAGGGAATCAAAGTTTTACATTGAAATATTTAAGAAAAATCTTTAAAAATCTTCTTTTCAAGAACCACTGGACCAGAAAAGCTGAAACTTATGTGGAAGCATCCTGGGGTAGTGTAGATTCTAAATTGTTTAAATCATGACCCCCCGGGGGTAGCGCAGGGCAACAATAGGTATTTCAAGGGGGGAAATCTGGTAAAGAACAGCATGGCCATAGTTACTCAGGTGAGCGATGTGGCCCATGGGCCTCTTGTTTTAATTTTGAGAGACAGAGTTTTGATGATTAGCTACATCACATGTTTATGATCTTATGACACTGCACTTTGAAACTGCCTAATATACAGTTACCACATACACTGAAATTTAAATACTAAGAAAATACATAGGGATCGGTATTCCAAAATGAATTGTTGTGGACTGACAATTGCTGTAAAGACAGACTGAATCTATTTTAGAGGATTGTTGGAAACATGTACAGATAAAATGATAATTCATTCTAGCTTTAAGGGTTGGGGAACCAATTATTTCTATCAGATTGTTAAATTCTATTACAGTGTTACTAGATCTATCCATGGATTTTTTTCTTTGCATGGAAATGCATGGACTATAATGCTAGTTGCAAATAAATACATGTAGTGACACTTTTAAATCTATTTATATTTTAAATGATGCTATAAAGCAGGAAAACTTTGAGTTTATACAGGAATCAGAACTTACATGGGGTAACCACTGAGTAGTTCCATTACAACAGCGTGTCTGTTAAAATCAACTGGTTTAGGAACTGGAAACTTTCTGTCGTACAGTGCCTAAATGTAGGAAATAAAATTCTAAGTTCAGCTGTCTTAACATGTCTTTATTTATGTTGAACTTTCCAAGACAGGATAACAGAAACTTTTATGTCTAACATTTGTATGAATAATATATACAGTTAAACCTCGTTATCTCGACCTCGATGGGACGGAGAAAAAACTTCCAGATATCCGATGATTTGAGAAATCGAGGTTAAAATACTTAAAAAATAAGTAGTTGGGACTTCCAAATCACTTCAACATATCCATGGTATTCGAGATATCAGTGTTCGAGATACAGAAGTTCAACTGTATATATAGTATAATTTTTTTCTTCAAAATTACGATATGCTGTCTACCTTCATATAAGCATATTCCTTCATTGCTGCAAGGCGTGACAGGTAGAGCCAGGATACATTATTCCTGTGCTTGTGATAATCTCGCTTGTTTTTCAGTTGTCGGAAAGAAGTACGCCCTAATCTGTAAAATACAAAACATCATCAATCAAGGCTCAGCTTGCTCCATGATTTCAACAAACTTGATTAACTTTATAAGAAAGCTTCAATTTACATAAGTTTTGTATTTTCTGGCTATGTTGTTCTTGCAAAGTAGATTTTTAAAAGACTGCATTCTGTTTTTCCTATTTCTTATTTATTTCTCCTTGGAGAGGAATATGGCTCCTTTGTTTGGACCCAACACCCAAGTTTGCATTGTGGCACATTTTAATGAATTTTGCACTGTGATTTTGGAGAAATCCAAAAAGAAGTGAAATTTTAGCACCTTTCTGTCTAAAGTAACCTATTAGAAAAGTTTTCCGGAGTAACAATTACCTGTGAAGCTTCAAGGCATATTGATGTTCTTCGTTATCTGCTATTATGTAAATGTCTGTAAAAAAAAAAAAAAAACTTATAAATAAATTTTTTTCTGGCTTGTACATTTCTAATAAATATGAAGGTTGTCCCAGAAAAATGCAAACATTTGCAATATACCATATATAGTCGCCTATAGGTCGGTCCGCCTATAAGTCGGTTGTATTTTTTAAGCTTACATTAAAGGGATTGACCCGATATAATATCAGTATTTTTATAACTCGCCTATAAGTCGGACAGGGGTATTTGGACCAAAGTTTAACTCCCAAAAAAACGACTTATAGGCAAGTATATACGGTAGTTTGTTACCTTAATATTATAAAGTTAAGAATTGACATTTATTATGTCAACATTATTTAAATACCACACTTGTCTTAGGTAATTTTATTATTTTAGGCAAAACTAATGACGTCAAAACTTGTGGTGTTGGTGAATTAGTTAACAGAATTATGTGTCTTTTATTTAGAATGTTACAGACTTGATTGATGCAGAATTTCAAAATACATTAGAATTCCAGTTTCAGTTTGTTTTCATTTTTTACTCTATCAAGTGCCTCTACCATCAGATAAATATTCTAGTCATTCTTGAACCTCATAAGTCATGTTTAAACCCTAGTCTAAGGCACATGTTTGTGCCATTCTATTGCTTCAATTTCTATTCCTATAAGAGCAGGAAAAAAAAAGTACACTGGGCCCTTCGGGCTTCACAGGATTTGATCACATGACCAACCAAGTTCATTTCTCAGAGAACTTTTTAACATTGTTGTTCATTTCTTAATTAACAGACGAAGCAATGTTGCCCAAGAATTTAAAAAATCTAGTAAAAATACCCTGGCTTATTGTAACCTGCTAGACCTGAGTGATCTCCTTAGGATTATACTTGGTTTTCCCAAGTCTTACAGGGATGATAATGATTGCAAAATATACAAATAAAATGGACACTTGCCTATTGTGTAAGGTATTCAATATATACAGATATGATTTTGTCACTTGCCTAGTGCTACAATTCAGTACACACAGACTTGGGTATACAACATGGCCACTTGTCACAAAACAACTTCATCCAATCTCAACCATGACTCTACCAGTGACAATAACTCATCTACCGTCTAACAGATCACCACCATGTAACCATACTATGCACAATTACATCTTTTGCTAAATATATAAATAATCTTTATGTCAATCTATTATATTGCTTTCCCAGTAAGAATTTGACTTTGAGCATGCTTTGCTCATTTAAACCAAACATTCATTTTTATTTTGTATATTTTATACAGAATATATTATACTTTCGCATGGTACTTATAAACTACTTTAACACAGTATTTCTAAACAACTTGTTGCAAAATACAGTCATACTTCAATATCTCAAACTGTATGGGACCAAGAAAAAACTGTGAGTTCAAGGATTGAAGATAACAAGATTAAATACATAATGAAAGAGTATTTGGGACTTCCAAGTGACTTCGACATATCCATGGTATTCGAGATATAAGTGTTCAAGATAACAAAGTTCAAAATTCAAAGCTTACAAAATTGAAAGTATCTACATTTACATATATATTTGTATTTTCAATTGTGTTATGTATAATCATTGACAATACCTGACTCTTTGCCCACTCCTATCTGATTGCCTAGGGAGTATATAACATCTCTACTGGCCAGAGCTTTCAGCGCCAAGTAATCATATCCTGATACTGTTAATCTGTATCCCTCAACTGTAATTCAAGTCAAACAGTTTGTTCATAACAATGACAAGACTGAATGGTGGATTAAACTTTCTAAAATTAAAGTTAAAAATAATTTTATTATTGTAAAATATAATAATTTTAAATTAAAATCATAATTATTTAAAGACCCAATTTTTTTACCGTTCAGTTACCTGAGGAGGGGGAGTGGTCTTGGTAGTACTTTTGTTATTTACCTGGAGACCCCCAATACTCAAAGTGTCAAAATGCCTTTACACGTTGTATTACACAGGAAGTCAGCTTTGGTAATCAGGGTCAACATATTACGCGTTTCGTGTCTAATTTTGAGCAAAATAAATAAATAAATAAATAAATAAAACTTTGATATAATAAAATAATAAATAAATAAATAAAACTTTGATATAAAATTTATTAAATGAGTATGAACATTGAAATAAAAAAAATCCCATTTATCAAATTTATCCGGCTTGTGGACTATTACCACAATCGGAATGTATTTTTTCTCCCGGTGCCAACAATGTTGTCCAAAATTAAATATTCAGCATTTCTGAAGGTCCGTGTTCACAGATTTGTATTGTTTGTAAGACTTTAATTAAGACCAATCACTATTCGTATTCATATATATGCAAAGATAAAGCATGTGATAAAGGAATCATTCGTAATTCATGCCGTTAATGCTAAATATTTTTCTTATACAGTCTATTTTATTTTGTCATGATTTTAATTGGCGGGCTTCGCATTGAGTTTCTCTGCACCCAAATGCTGGGTCGAAAGGGGCATAACGGTGATTACTAAAATCTAGGCAAAGGTTGAAGAAGGGGCTCGGAAGAATTATCGGTCTTAGCTGCTACGGGAACTTCGTTCCTCTCCGGATCCAAGTCCTAGGCAGTAATATTGAAAAAGATCGAGTCACTAGTTTTTCTTCAAGAAAGAGTTACATTTATTTTGGACATAGACATCATATCGCTTTTAAATAGTACCAAACAGCAGTGGAAATTGAAAAAAAATATCATGAAGTCAAGGTTATAATTATCTACTCTTAATTATATCAATAAAATGTCCAACCATGCAATATAACAGCGACATGATTTTTTTTTTAACCAGAGTGTACATGTATATACAAAGCGACTTTTCACGCGGTACATGAAAGTGTTTGACGCGTGACCAGGCGATCATTTTCAAAACCTGCAAATTCAGATTATCAGGTAGCACGGGTAGCTGGCCTGTCAATCAAATCAGTAGCTATTGTTTTCTCTATAATTGACAGGCGGTATATTATTGATCTTGAATCAGGTAGATTTGGGGGCGTTAACATAAAATTGGGTGTTTAAAACTATAATTAATTTTAAATAATTGTAAAATATAATAATTTTTCATTGTCTCCAATTTGTAGCTTCATGGCAAATTAGTTACAATGCTATTTGTTAGTAACAAATCTTACATCTTTTCCCACCATGTTCGTATGCTACTAGTCTGTGTTTGTTGAGTTCTCGGAGGACTTTGTGACATCCTCCACCATGAAGATGTGCAATGGATGCCACCAGCGGTGAGGGAACCAGTTCATGGTTCTTCATTCCCATCTCTACCTACAAATCAAATACAGAAAAGTACAAAACTGCGATTACTACTCAAAACCTATAAACGATCAGTATCAGCTTCTTTTTTCAAAAGCCAAAGGAAATATTTGTAGCTTCAGCCTTCTTAGCTTGTCTGAAATTTTCTAAAAATGTTTTCTACTGACACTAACAGTTTCATAATTTTCATTCATTATCCTAAAAATATGTCATTTCTATTCCCATCAATATGTTTGTGGCTGAGACTAACTCCATAGTCACTAAACCAGAGCCGTTCAACTTAGCAGGTGCTCACCAACATTTCTGTTTAAGTGATGAGGAATTTTGGGTTACCACTCACATTGTTGAACATGCTTCTGGTAGCTCAAGTGGGAAGTATCAACTGGGTGAGCATATAACTGTATATACAAGAGGCCACAAGGCTCAGCTTAGTAACTTTCACCTTTCATCAGAAGACCTATCATTTTCTGTATATATTCTTATGTAAAACATACATCACACATTATAGCCCAACCCTACCCCAGGGGGTCATGATTTGAACAAACTTGAATTTATAATGCCTGAGGATGCCATGTAAAACTTCGATCCCCCAATTGTGGCCCTTCCCTACCCCGAGGAGTAAAGATCTAAACAAGCTTGAATCGAAGCCATTAATTTTCACCATTTTGTAATTATCTCCCTTGGAAGAAGACATGGCCCTTTACTTGAACAACTTTTAATCAAGGATACTTTGTGGCAAGTTTGGTTAAAATTGGCCCTGTGGTTTTTAGAAGAAGTCAAAAATGTGAAAAGTTTACAGACAGACGGATCGAGGGACACGGCTGACGGGACAAAATATGACTGATCAGAAAAGCTCACTTGAGCCTTCAACTCAGTTGAGCTAAAAATTCCATTTTCAATTTTGAAGTTTTTTTTATATTATAAAGACAGAGTAATGTTTATGTTTTATTCCAAACAAGTGAAATGAAAGAGGTGAAGATCTAGCAAACAGTGATCAATCTCAAAAAACCCACAAGTACAAATCTGTGAACAGGGTATAAAACAAGGACCCCTGGAAATTCCAGAGGTGGGATCAGGTGCCTAGGAGGAGTAAGCATTCCCTGTCAAACAGTTGGTTGTGATGAATTATTGCTTTTACCTTCTAAAGAAATGGGCGTGACATTATGTAACAATTGACATTGGATAAGAAACACCCAAATGTTCGATTCAAACGAAAATTTTACCACTTCAATGCGCATTATTGTTTACCACAAAACAGGAGTAAAACCACTGTTCAGTGGACTGTGCCCAACTGGATAGAACGTTCTATCATTAAAATGATATATTGTCCTATGGAGCTGTTTTAACAATAGAATTTCTTCTGTGTTGTCAATATAGCAAAATAAACAAACAAGAGGCCCTTGGGCCACAACGCTCACCTGATTTACTTTGGCCCTGCTGTTCTTCACCAGATTTTCCCCTTGTAATAATACCTAATGTGGCCCTACCCTACCCCTCGGGGTCATGATTTGAACAATTTAGAATATACACTACCCAGGATGCTTCCACATAAGTTTCAACATTTCTGGCCCAGTTGTTCTTGAAAAGAAGATTTTTTAAAAAAAAAATTCTATATATTTCCATGTAAAAATTGGATTTTCTATTGTGGCCCCACCCTACCCCCAGGGGTCATGATTTGAACAATTTAAAATCTTCACTACCCTAGGATGCTTCCACATAAGTTTCAGCTTTTCTGGTCCAGTGATTCTTGAGAAGAAGATTTTAAAAGATTTTCTATATATTTCAATGTAAATCTTTGATTCCCTATTGTGGCCCCGTCCTACCCCCTGGGGTCATGATTTGAACAATTTAGAATCTACACTACCCAATGATTCTTCCACATAAGTTTTAGCTTTTCTGGCCCAGTGGTTCTTGAGATTTTTTAATGACCCCACCCTATTTTTGTCTTTTCTTGATTATCTCCTCTTGTAAGTGGGCTTGGCCCTTTATTTTGAAAATTTAAACTCTCCTTCACTTAAGGGTGCTTTGTACCAAGTTTGGTTAAAATTGGCCCAGTGGTTCTTGAGAAGAAGTTGAAAATGTGAAAAGTTACAGACGGACGGACAGCTAGACAGAAGACGGACAAAGGGTGATCAGAAAAGCTCACTTGAGCTTTCAGCTCAGGTGAGCTAAAAATCATAACTGGGTTCTACAATGTACACGATACATATACAGACAGAAGAGTTAATTTGTGACCAAACAGTTACCTCTTAAGTGAAATAACAAACATGACAAAGAAGACCAGTTCTGGTTAACATGATAATTGATTGTTCATTATACAGCACAATGTGAAGTAATCATACTTATCCATGCCTCACTTCACACAAGGTGGTGTACAGTTACACAAACAATGAAAATACATCTTTTCCTTAAAAGCGTATAAACGCAGCAAATGTTTAAACTATCTCTGCTTTGGATCAGTCTTCGAAATTCAGAACTATTTTCTTTGGGCCCAAAGGGGACTACATGAGTCCTTCCAGGGCAGACTAGATCCAAAAATAATACCATGATCAAATATTTTGGAAAAATAAACTTTTTTTTTATTGATGATCTCACAGTCACACAGTCTTACTTGGTCATATATAACACCTAACAAGTTTAAAATGTGTTTATAGTACTGTAAATGTACTTTTGTCCATGGGCTCAAATTCCACGGAATAACAATTTCTGTTCTTAAAATCCGCTGGTAGAAAATTACGCAGGTTTCTTAGATTACCACAATTTGTTAATAAATGTGCTTTAAGTACACTGGAACAAATTTTTCTGCAGAAGGTTTGTACATATAGCATATACTTATACCACACAGAAAAATTTTTAATCTTCTGAGTAATTCAAAACCACATGAAAAGAAGAATTGATATGATCTTGATACAAATAATTAGTTTTACATGTACCAATCTTAAATCTAATTTCTCTTAAAGACACTCATTGATCAATTTGTTTAATATATCCAATCAAAATGCAGTAAAGAAATAAAAGTTAAAGTAAATGCATAAGCCAACATACGTTAACTTCAACTGCAACTTCTTGGGCCTTTCCGTTCCGACAAGCAGTAACAATTTTCCCAGCTTGCCGGAAAGGTCCGAGAAAATGTGATTGACGTGAACTTCATCATCAGCCCAAAATTATGTCAAGGACTCATTTAGTCGTACTATTCATGAGTCCTTCCGTTAATATGTCAGTGGGGGACCGAAGCTAATTTCGAACACTGGATTGCTTTTTTAAAAATCCCTAGTATAAATATTAGTAGTCATACACTTGCAATTTTTTTTCTTTTTTAATTAAGGAAGCTCTAAACACTAACATAAAATGTTTTTTGGACTTTGAGAAAATTTTGTCACAGACCTGCCTACCCTTTTCATTGTGAGGGTGTAATTTCAATTCTCATTTTGGTGGAATTTCAGAGGTAAAGGCGTAATCCTTTATGTTTCCCTAGTTTGATATTTTGCAGTGATACTAAACCGGTAATTGTACATCATTGAACAAAGCAAGCATATTAAATGTTTCTTTTTCAAATCATTTATTGGCAGAAAGTCCATGCATTGTAAAACTGGTATCCTAAATGCAGTCATTTAAACTTACATGCTTAATGAACATTTGGTTAATTTCTAGCAAATCACATAATCCAGAGTTACATTTACATGTTAATACAAATTCTACACTTAATTCTAACACTTATACACTTACACTACACTTATTGCGCTATGTCATTTTTTTTTCTATTTATTTACGTATACTTGTCTCTATGTTGTTCTAAGCAATGTAAGAATTAACTGAATTGAAAATTAAACTGACTTTACATATTGCACATTTCATTCAATAGTTTTATAATCTTTGGCATGCCACCCGTTAAAAGGCGTATTATAACTACAAGGTATATTACGTATGTTGTTTGTATCGTAAATAAGCATATTGTGAAGAATCAAAAAAATTATTTCAGATAAATTTTATGCTGAAAGCTACAAATACAATATATAGTATGCAAACTTCTTTTTTTTCTCCTCATAGATCTGTAAAATAACTGTTATTAAAATCTTTACAAGTAATAATCCTTCTTTTCTCATTTCTATTCTTATTTATTAGAAGATTCTGCAAGTTTCAATAAAATGGTTATGCATGTGACCGAAGAAATAAAAAAAGGGGGGGGGGGGGTATGAGTGATGAGTGTCTTTGTCTCTCACTTTATTATGAACACAGAAATTGAACCCTGTCTGGAAAATTTGAACAATGTTTTAGATTTAAACTGTTTGATAATATAAGCTATGATTTTATAATACAGGTGTAACACAGTCCACACGAAATTATGATTTAAACAAAATACACAGGATCAAATCACCATTAAAAATACTTGAATTCAACTTGCGGATGGTTGCGTGAATTTTGACGATAAATACGGCAACCTATTTTACAATAAATCGCTACACACTATGTAAATATTCATGTTCAAAATCATGTCTTTTCTGCACGTAATCGCAAGTGCTCTGCGGGGAAAAGGATAACGTCATCAAACAGTGATAAATGTAATGCAACTATTACATCACAGACAGCGCAAGGGGTAAAGCAGGGTTTGACATTAACTTTTATGAGTACTAGGCCAGTCGGGCTACTTCCCATAATTTTTACTAGCCTGGACCATAAAATCAGTAGCCCTGACCAAACTTGAAAATTGACTTTTTATGAACTGCTAATTATAATGTAAAAAAAGTTTCGAAACCATACTTCAATAAAGATTATACCGTCTCTTGCACCTGTTAAGGTCAGACGACATGTTCCTCGAAAATATATAATTTTTCCCAAGAATTTGTCATTGAAGTATAGGTATTAAAACAAGTTTCCTAACAAAAAATTAAGGTACCTTACCAGGCTTTGAACAAGATACCAGAGGGTGATATTTCTTATATAATCCTTATGGGTAATCTTCTGAATGGCCTAAATCACAATTTTTGGTGTACTTACATTTAAAAACATATTGAAAACAGTGTAGAAATCACAAGAGAATGACAATTATGAATAATTTTTGATATATTAAGAGATTCAAAACATATATTTGAGGAACGTGTCGTCTGACCTTAAGATATATTTTGACAGACTCTTCCATAGGTCGCTAGCCATTAAGTTGGGTTAAGCATGACTACAAATATTATAAGCCTTAATTAAGGAACAATCAATGAACTCAGTATAAAAATAATTACCCTAAATATAAATACATTGTGAATTAAAAAAAATATTATTCAGTAACTTCATACTAATTCTAAATACTGAACGAAGCTAGTTCCCATCGCAACTTGTCTATTACAGCCGGGCAAAAAATAGCGATTGTGTCATGTGGGGAAGTTTTCTTTCAAAGAGCGATGGGTGATGTTTACTATCAGACAAATAAGAATTTAAAAAAAAAAATGAAAATAAAAAAACATTTTAGAATATTTATTTGAAAGACTGAAATGAGGGTTATCATTTATTTCATACACATGACCAGTCGGTCTATTTCACAAACATTTCACACAACCGGACCACTCAATTACTAAGACTGGGTTGGTGGGACGTGCCTTAGTGTCAAACCCTGTAAAGAGTTATTTAGTATTATTTACCTTCTCCTAAGTTAGTCTTTCATTAAGAAGTTTTTTAGGAAAAATATTTAAAAGCATAAAATTAAGGTTCATGGTGTAACAGCGTAATTTTGTGGTAAAAAGCGGAAGAATTACGCCAAAAGCAGAAGGGTAGGTAGGTCTGTTATCATCTAAAGATGTACATATTGAATTTTTCTACTTCATTTTCAACATAGGGTACCTGCCATATTTCTCCAAGAAAAATGTTCAAAGACAATGAAGTATTATTGAACTGAAATCACCTCTGTTTACTTAAATTGGGAAAGTACTTGAAAAAAATGTTTTCAATTACTTATCTTGGTCTAATATCATGAATATAATACTGAGAATGCTTTAATCTATTTTAAATAGTGTCATTTACTGTAAAGTTCCATGTATTCTATTTTACATCAAAGAGCAGATCACTCTAACCACATAAAACTACCATGGAATTTGAACTCTCAAGTGAACAGTGTTTAGAGCTTCCTTAAATAAAAAACAAACACCAAATTGTGAAAAGTCGCATTGAAATAGCTAAATAAAGCTACCTGAGGTAGCTTAATAAAGCTAAAGTAGGTAATTCTTAACCTACATATAGCTAGTAAATGTACCAATTATACTAGATAGAATGTTCTATCGTTAAAATGATATTGTCCTACAGACCCGGTTTAACGATAGAATTCGTTCCGTGTATTGGCAATGTTGCAAAATAAACACGGGCGATAATTCGAACTCTGTGCATTTTCTATGAACAATCCAGAGAGTTCCGAATGTCAACATGGCGTTTAATTTGAAGCGAGGAAAAAACGTTGAGAAAATGAGTTGAATTTTCGTATTTATATGGATTATTTTTTAGGTAAAGGTATCTGACCCATAATATAGCCTCAGATTCAGTGAATCTGAATGTATAACAGATATATATTGGCTGAATACTCAGTATATGTAGACATAATCTTCATGTTTTAGTATCAATATGTAAGAGCAGAATGTGTCATAATTTTTTACCTTGTCCTGTCCTTGAAGAGTTATCCCCCTTTGCTTTTAATCAATAAAAATCAATTCTAAAAAAAATCTATCTGGTAAAAATTTAGTTTTCAATCGCTTCTCTATTCCTTATAATAAAATACATCTTTCCACCACAGCATTTTTTGATATTCTTAGTATTTAAATTTTTATTTTCAAAAATTTGCTTGTCCCCATAGACATCAGTGCAATCTTCATTAATAAATTACTGCTTAGGTAATTATATTTTTGAAAATGTCTCTTGGTAAATCCTATACTACTCTAAAATGCTTTGAATTAATATCAGTGAAAGTATTTAATACAGGGTGGATATTTAAGGTTAGAAAATTAGGTCCTAATATGGGTCGGATACCTTAAAACGCATATACAATCTCAAAAAGGTTTGTTCTGATTAATTTGGTAGTTATTTTCAGTGCAACTTGTTTCGTATTCTTCATAATCATTTTGGAGTGGATCCACTCCGATTTGCTACATTGCAAGTATATGGGACGTATTCTAACTGTGGTGAGGGCTTGTCCCGAGACACAGTTAGATTATTCTAACTACGATAATACTGGACTGCATAAAATTAATAAGGTTAAACAATCTCCCCCCCCCCCTTCTTCACAGGTACTTGGGTCTTGATTTATAAATATGTATACCTATTGATATGTTAAAAAAAAAAAAGTATCAATAGGTATACATTATTTATAAACCAAAACCAGCGGTCCTACTAAACAGAGAACCCTAGAGAACTCTAGAGAACCCTAGAGAACTCAAGGTTTATTTGGTCTATTCTACTAAATTTTATGCATTATTGAGTTTATTTTCACTTTATAAATCATATTCTATCTATAAAATCAATAACAAGATTATTTTATGGATGTTTTCCCTCGACTGAATTTCAAAAACATTGTTTATTGAAATAATAATTTTACCAAATGATTTTACAATTCTTTTTCACATTATTTTTTATTTAATTTTAATTTTCAAGTTATATAGAAATTTAGCCATTAACTCTGGTGTGAAACTTATTTGAAAAATAATTAAATCACACACAAAGTATGATAGATTAGTATTCCGTTGAAATTGAGCATTTTGAAAACCTAATACAATATTCTTTTTTTTTAATTTAATTTTGTTTTGGTATGACATATTGATTATTTAAAACATAAATATTTCATTTACAAACAATAAATAATTAAAAATCATTAGAGTTCTCTAGGGCTCTCTGTTTAGTAGTACCCCAAAACCAGAGTACCCCCCTCGAAAAAAAATCCTACAATATTTTAAAGGAAGTACAGCTTCAAAGATCATATATAAATATCATACCGAAGTAAGAACTCTGAAATCTTCCTTAGACAAATAACGTAACATTGTCACGTTTAGTTTTCCCATTTTGTCCAAAACCAAAAAATGTTTTGTACAGTTCTGTCAACTTGACGATCAACGTGCTTCTCAAAATGGCACCTCTATTTACCATGTTTACCACTTCCGTTAAAGAAAGTTAAGATTTACATAGATTTTTTTCGCATTGTAATCAAAGAAAAATAATCTAACTTTCACAGCTTGATCTTTTTTGTATTTCTATAAATATTTGAGCACATATATTATAAATATAAATGTTAAAATAAATAAAATAATAATAAGAAACAGGAACAAGTCATATATTGCTGTATTTAGTCAAACCGGAAAATCCTAAATTGTTTTGAAGGAAAAGTTTTGAAAAAATTTAGATTATAAATATTATCATGGGTGGCTGTTGTTCAGCTCAGGTATAATAACAGAGTTTAATGAATTAATTATTCATTGTGACTGTGTCAAATAGATATACAGATATATTTCCATTCATTAAATGACACGGTACAGCAATATTTCGTGTTTAAAAATACTTCAAGAGACATGAATACATGATCATCATGTACTTGTCGGTGTTTTCTCAGCCAATCATTAGAAAATAGTGAGAGGGAGACAAAGACCATATTTATAAATATTTTTTGTATTTATATACATTCAAACTTCTTGCACTTAAATGTACTAAGTTTCAGTTTCTAAAGCTTTTTTATGTGACCTAGTTTTTTCATACATTCATCAGGTCCGGCACAATCTCTTGATTTATCTATATATATTGATTTATGTATATAGCATTATTAAGCTATATTATTCATACCAACAGAGCTATCTGGCCACCAACGAAAAATCCGTCTGACCGCCACACTTCCCTCCTTAAAGGTCTTCTGCCCCCGAAGACACCAACCCAGGCTCTTCCCTGGTAGGTCTTTCACCTGTCACTTCCAGGGCATGACACCAAATGTAACAGAAAAGCAGAAAATTGTGATGGACCAGACTGGGATTCGAACCCGCGCCCCCTGATTCTCCAGTCAGATGTTCTACCAACTGAGCTATCTGGCTATACCAGCGATCAAACTCATCTGACCACCACATCCCTCCCTCCTTCAAGGTCTTTGGCCCCGGAAGACACTAACCTAGGCTATTTCCTAGCAAGTCTTTCACCTGTCAAACCTTTGTCATAAGAGAGGAGAAAAATGCGACTGACCAGACCGGGATTCAAATCCCAGTCTGGTCCATCACATTTATTTCCTCTCCTGTTACAAATATTTCAACATTTACATTGAATCTTAAGTCCTTCATTTTATTGATTAACTGTTAAAATATTGATTGAAAGGTGAAGCTTACCTCAATATTGCATAGGACATTATTAAACAAGACATAAGCATGATAAACTAGAGTGTTCCAAGGAACGCACATGTCGCCTGCTTTGTAGCTTCATTAAAGATGAAAATAAATCTATTAAGTGTAGTTAGCTATTTATTTCTACTAGTATTATAGTTCATGCAGAAAAAAAAACATCCACACATGGTATAAGACTGCGACAGAATCTGACAAAGAAAATTTGATTCCCAACCCTAAAATGAATAATTAAATTGAATTTATTATAAATAATTATTTATCATCATAATCATATTACATGTATTGATACCTGACTTCAGTTAAATTAATCTGTCAGCTGTTATTTTTTGTAAAATAGGTCAAAGGTCGAGGTCAAGTGAATTGTAACTCTGGTATTTTTCATAATGTTTTATGACAATCAGTGCACATGCTAAATAGCAAAGACTTACCATTTAAATGTCAAAAATATGCTGTATATTGGCACTATTTTTTGTAAAGTAGGTCAAAGGTTACAAGGTCGGTAACCTTGGCAATTCACAAAAGCCATATTGCCAAGCAATATATGTGGAAAATATCAAGTCCATATCTCTTACAGTTCTTGAGATACAAGGTGTGACAGACAGACAGACAGATGCGGGATAAAGTGATCCCTTAGTGCCACTCTGCTCTGCAGGTGACACAAAAAGTGTCATGTTTACAATTTTGGAGTACGGGAAAACCTGCTATGAAGTCAAACTAAATAAGCAAAATAAGATATACCTATAGATAAGATTTCTGTCATCAACCATGCAAAAATAATTTTTGTGTTCTCCATTTCACAAAACCCTTATCATGTGCTGATTTTGAGTACAGACCTGTTTTTATGTAATAATACTGCCCCATATTCACTGAGTATGATCTTACTAACAGATCATGTACAACTGACTTATTGGAGGCGCAGTTGATAGTATGAATTGATTGTATTTTCATTGTGTAGAACATCTTAACAGTTATTCCCCATCAGTACTGACTTGGAGTCCAGGTTTATGGGTTATTTAGGTAGAAAACACAAGAAACTTGTTTTGCAGAGAAAACTACACCCCCCTTTGATGATGACACAAAAAATCAAGTTAACACAAAACTGTAATTTAGACGAGATTATTATATTAATAGAAATGTACATAATCTTCATGAGCTCAGATTTTTTTGTATTTTTAAAAGTTTGAAATAAATCAAAGATAATGTCTTAATAGATCAAAAATACAATGTTCTTGGTTACCATGATATACTAACAGAATAGG